GAAGAGACACCCTCCTGGTCAAAGCAGAGTCAGAACCACCAGGCTGGGCACAGCTGGTGGATGGGCATCAGCTGAGCTTCCTGTGCCCTGTCCAGCCTCAGTGGGTCTTCCCCCGGCCCTCAGAGATGACTTCCTCGGGCCGGGCACGCATGTACCATTCCACCCAGGAGCCGTCGTAAATGGGCACGTCGGGCTTGCCGCAGAGGTAGGCCCCCAGTGCCACATGGCAGGCTGTGACACCAGAGCCACACGTGGCCACCAGTGGCTGTGACAGGTCTACCTTCTTGTCCTTGAACAGCTGGTGGATCTCCTCGGGGCTCTTCTCCAGGCCCTCCTCAGTCAGGAATTCTGTGAAGGGGATGTTCACAGTGCCGGGGATGTGTCCGGGCTCAATTCCTGCAGCAAGAGGGCAGGAAGGAGGGGACAGATTCATGGGTGGTCTGAACGGCACCTGCAGTACTAAGGGTCCCTTGCAGCCACAGAGCTAACCCCTCTCTCTGTATCATCTCCTGCTGTCCTCCCTACCAGAAACCCAGGCACGATTTACTGACACCCCCATTTTAAAGGAACTTTCAGAAATCTGCAAATGTAGAATGAAACATCCAGGTTGACAAAGCTCATTTACTGACTTGGCAAGGGCTTATTGTTCCTAACAACCCTCCATATGATAAGGGGGCCTTCTGAATCGAAATCAGCTTTCCGGCAGAGTACCCAGACAAATCACCGAAGATCAACATTTGAAACAAAGACCTATCACCTGAGCATCAGTGAAAAGGGCCAGGTCTGTCTGTCTGCCAGTAATTAGTGCTGAAAACTGGCGGCCAGCAACCAAAACAGACCAAGTGCCCCAGTGTCTCACAGCACTGGTGACAGTGACCCCCGGCCCAAGCACCCACTTTGGGCTGACCTAGCTGAAGAATAAGGACTGTAAAAAAAATCTGTGAGAATAGTTTACAATGTAATGTGTGGAAATCTGCTGCGATCAATTGCAGCCAGTGTGAGCAGAGGCCCCAAGCAGTACATTCAGACCCCCACAATGCAGGACCCTGGAAAATCAACACTGGCCAGCACCTGACATTTGCCTGTGGCTGTTACAAACTTTCTACAGTTTTCTTAATCAAACGTGGTTTAGGTAACCTGTAAAGAAAGGAGTAAAAATTTAAGATGTTCTAGGTCTGCTTTGTTTTAAAAATCACTGCTTCAGTTTACCAAAAAAAAGATTAAACCCCACCAGAGCCACATTCTGCCCCAGGCTCCCTGATCGCCTATATGCCCTGGGGGCAATAAAGATAAACAGGCCCTCTGCCTACAAGGACTTCAGGGCAGCTGAGCAATAACTAAGTACAAATCTGATGCAGGTTACGAAAAGGCCCTCGGGGAGCCTGGGGACTTATCATAGAAGTCAGTGATAAGAACAGCTGACATTACTGAGCATCTCCTTTCCCACCGGCACTGTTCGGAGCTCCTTGGAGGTGTTTTCTCCTTTAATCTCTCTCAAACCCTATGGGAAAGAAATGATTATCCCCCTTATGTACATATGAGGAGTCTGAGGCACACAGACTAACTTGCCCAAGCTAATAGGGGCAG